ATCATTCAGGTTTTCTCACCAAGGAAGCCCAAGCGGGCCCAGATGGGCCACCTTGCTCTCATTTCTGGTTTGCATGTTTGTTTCCCTCTTCTTCCTTCTTATCATGGGCACATCCCTTAACCAAATGTCATCTAACAAAAGCATATCTGATATTACAACTACCCATGTGTGTCCTCTCCAGCACTGTGACACACACACAGCTGATGATAGCCTGGGTGTGCTGAATTGCCTCTAAAGGCCGTGAGCCATTCCATCCCTCTCCAGCAGTAAAGAATTCAAGGAGAAAAACAACCCTATAAACCAAACAGATAGAAAGAACATACACATCTTCAGCCTCAGCTAGAACAGCTATTGTCTTCACTGCAAAAGGGGCTCAAGATCATGATTTCTGATAACTGGAAGTAGTGTTCACTGAAAGAAACATGACAATGTCCTTCCCGTTAAATTTCACTACAACAGCTGCTAGACAAAAACATGAGTTGGGTGTCGAACATCAAGCAACTGGCTTGGGGTGCAAATGGCTTGGGGTGCAAAAAGCTGTTGAGACGTTCTTCATCATTTGTTTTCCAGTGTTTTGTCTGGGTTAATTTTGAGGGCTAGAAAAACAATCATTAAGAGGCTTAGATTGTTAGGTAAACCAAAATACTTCAGGAGAAGGTGTATCATGAAAACCTGGTACACTGAAATGCATTGGATATAAACAAATTTAATCAAGGGCTTGGGTTTTTTAATTTTTGTGTGATAATTAATTATATATTTAATGAACCTGAGCTGATTGCATCTCATGAATATTAAGAACTGGGAAGGAATAAAATTTAACAGAACCTGTGATACAACTTTTCATGTGTAGAACAGCTTCCTGTACAAAGTCAACTCCCACTTACATCAGCCACCACTTCTGAGCATAGGGGTAGCTCCTTCTCCTTGGATGCTCATATCCCTTTGCTGGCAGTATCAGTCTAGGACAAAGTGCCATGTGCAATCTTTCTCTCCTCACTTTTGTACATCAGCTGTGTGGTAGATAAAATCCCTTCCATATAGGATATGCCTTGTAAGTATATCCAGCACATTCCATATATGGACACTATCTAGAGAATATCTATTTTTTCAGGCAGTTTCAACCCAGGTTATAAATTTTCTCCTAGATACATAGAGAGTGTAAAATAATTAAGAGAGCCTTTCAGTTTAAAGTTAGGGAGTGATAAAATTTCAGGAACATGGAAATGCAAATGCAGGTCCACACAAGTAAAATTATTACTTTATTGGGGTTGTAAACGAAGTCATGGAAGCAAAACTATAGAAATGCTGTTGTAAATTTAAAAACAAAAATTAAAAACATTATTTTAGTCTCTACTTTTCCTGTGGCATATTTGCTTTTCACCCATACAATATTGCAAATTTCATCTGCTCCTTTACATTTGATATGTATTTTGTATTGCATGATTTTTGAATAATGGTATAAATTCAAAAAAGCTAAAACACTGCTAAGTGAGTGCCTGGGTTTGTGGTGGTAGGTCTATGAGCAATACTCTATGGCTAATGTACAATAGCAGCCACAGGATTGCAGCTATTGTATATCACATTTAAATGTTCTAACACCAGCAGCTCTAGGAGGGCTTGGCTGGAAGCTGTCTGCACCTGACAGCACAGAAAGAATAAACACAGCAATTCAAAAGTCTTTACAGCCTTAGGACTGCAACACTGCTCAGTTAAGGCTGACACCTCCCAGAATAGAGCAACCATGAGATCATGGGAACATAAATCATAGTTTTCATCTATGTACAGTCTTATAATTGGTTTGCATACACAATGCAGTGAGTTTGTTCTAATCACTAAAAGCTTCTTTTATGATTAATTTTTTGGCAAAGGATGTTGCCTGTAGCCTGATATTTGGAGCAAGCCTGCCAGGGTGTAACACAGCTGAACTTGGCATACAGAAGGTTTGTTACAATGGATCCATTTCTATTGTTTTGATGTTTGTCCAACTGGGTGGATGCCATTAGAATCAAGTGACAGTGTCATAAGCTTAAAGCCCTTTGCGGTTCTTGAGTTCCTCAATTCAATTCTCAATAAAACTGCAGCTGAAGGGTGCATTCCAGTTCATCAGGAGTGAAGTTAGGCTGCACGTAGGCTCGTTGGTAATTGAAAATAAGTGACAAATTATCACTAAGCACACTCAGGAAAGCTTGGGTTTCAGATATCTTGAAAGCTGCACACGGCAGGACAAGGCCATTCACCCATTTGTCTGCTGGATTTGCAGGGGCTTTACAACCCCCATTTGTGTTTTTCCCCTTTTGGTAGAAAAATTGGGAGACAAGGAAGGAATAAAACAGTCTTCAACTAATGGGAGCTACTATCAACTGAAGAGAAATGCAATAAATAACAGATGAAATATGTCAGGTTTTATATTTTAACAGGAAAATTAAGTAATCAGAAGATTTGCTATTCCCTACAAAAATCCCTGCTCATTCAGTGCTAAGCTATTTTGTTGCTTTGTGCTTGAGTGTAATTTTAAAAAAATCAGAAATTAGTAAATCTAATTATGATTCCAAATGAGGACAGAAATTTTTCTGTCAAAGATCTTAACACAAAAAAAGGCTGCAATTCTGAAAGGTGTGAGACTGCTTTATGGTAAAAAAAGAAATTAAAAAAGAAGCAAAAAAGTTATTAAAAAAAAACAACAATGAAAAGAGCACAGAAAGAACAGACACAAATAGGATTCAATAACAATACTGCAGCTAGCACAAGAATCTCTGAGGACTGGTTTCAATACAGAGAAAGCAGGACACTTTGAAACTGAAGTATAAAGTGCTCAGACTTCGAAGGGAAAGCTCTCACATCCACTTCCAAAATATCCAAGCTATAATAAAAAGCATTTTTCAAAGAAAAAAACCTGTTTTTCTAAACACTAAGTAAATGAAAGAGAAAGAGTCTCCAAATGACCATTATTTAATTCTGCATCTCAAATTATTCACCAAATTTCACAGGCTGAATTAGGAGCTGAAGGCCACAGAGAGAAGGGAGACAGAAACTCGTCTATTCAATTGCAGAACAGTCCCACCAAAGTAATCAGGATTCAGGATCAGATTTTTCTAGAAAGGGTCAGAATTTACAGAGCTATCAGAACTTCTAAGTGACCATTTAAGGTTACATGGAAAAATATGCCTCTGATCTGATGATTTTGGAGTCACAGCACTCAGTTATAATACCTATTTGTATCCCCAGGAAGGCATCGAGGGACATGCACAGACTTTCCCATCAGTAACATAAAGACCTTAGCAATTTCTGATATTGAGCATAGAAACCAATATTTTCAATACCTTTTTTCTTCCCAAGGGGTTGGTTATATAAAAAAAAACAGCCAGAATAAGAGGAACTAAAAAGAAATCCCTCAAATCATAGTGCTGTGGTTGAAGCATGTGGGGTTTTCTAGCAATGGAACCATGGATGACCAGAGGAGGTGTGAGTTACAGAGGCAATACAAAACTTTAAAGAGGCCTGAACTGGGAGTAAAGTGACACCCACAGAGTTCCACACACTGGTCTTCACTTTCTTATTTTGCTCCCCTGCTTCGAATTCAACCGTTGGACTCCAGGCTTTTTTGCACCAAGTTCTTCACAGCTCTGGCTCCTAACACCAATTCCCAGGGCAGGCCCGGGGAAATCTCACTGTCCAGCACTTTTAACATAAACCCATTCACCATGTCTGGGCCATTTTTTGGTACCTGATTTAGCCTATGAACTCTTTGAGCCCAAACAGCCCTAGCAGCTATGAGACAGAACTTTGCAATTCTGCCCAGAAGTTAGGGGAATGCCCAAGGAATAAGCTGGGTAATTACTTCTCCCTGGGGAATACATTATGTTCTCAATATCAGGAATCCACCTAAAGGAAATTAAAGCTAATTACTTTTGCTCCTTTAGATACTTTGCTCCTTGAGAGCTTTACCCACAGGGAAGTGACAGTTCCCAGATTTGTAGAGCCACAAGCAGGTTTTTCAAGTTCTAATAGTTGTTGAAAACAGAAAATAACAGCCTTACAGTCACGAACACCATTTTAAAAACCCAGTATGTCTCAGCTCCTTTCTCAAGGGCACCAAAAATACTTTGCATTTAAGTTTAAATTAAATTACAATTAGTGCTTATATTTGTATGGCTAAAAGGCAAGTTGTACATTTAACCATAAGACTCTGGTGCTGACAGTGAGAAGACTTCACCTGCACACTCTACATGGTCACATCCCTGAAGTCCACATGGGACTTCAATGTACTAGTGCATAAAAAGCTGAGCAGTCTTCCCCAGCCCACCTGCACCCATCCCTTCCATGAGGTCTTATTATTTTGTTAGGCATCCCTGACCTCCATCAAGAGCTCCTGCATCAGGAAAACCTCATTAGGCTGGGAGCCATAGGATACCATAGGGAAATAGAAAAAGAGGAGGAAAGCACTGCAGGTTTCTCCTCTAGAGAAAGCCCTTTAAGTTGAGAGCACACTGTGTTACCTCAATGAATCCTCCGCGGTGTGATAAGATAGAAAGTTGCCCAGTAACAATGTGCAAAGTTCCTCCTGAATAAATAGAGAAATTGGCAAAAGAAGTTCTCTCTAGTCTGATTAAGATGAAGCTAAGCCTTCATGCTAGATAAAAACTTGATATATAGCAGCTGTCTCGGGGTGAGGAAGGAATTATATCCTATGGAGGTCATAGCTACCCCGAGGGCAAGCAAAGTGAGTAAGGTGGAAAAAGGCTTTAAGGTGTGTGTCAACACACCTGTGCAATTGTTTCAGCTGGAGGTTCTTAAAAAGGAATTAATTTCAAGGGCAAGTCACATTTTCAATTAAAAACAAATAAACATATCACAGAAAGTGCTGATATTAACATTTATTTTTTTACTCTCATTTACCGTTTTTTTTCTACAAACACGTTTAACCACAGTTCAAGAGGTATTATAATGCCAATTACAGTTTAAAGGGAACATTTTGGTACAAGACAACAACAAAATAAACAGAATAAATAACCCTCTTTACATATGCTGAAGAAAACAAAAACAACATTCAATAAACTTAATACAATTCACACTCTGTACAACAGCTCAAGGTAGACCTTACAAAACAGTACTCATGTCCTATCAGTAACATACAGATATTGTAAACCTAGAAACTTTAACAACATGCTTAGCTCAAGCAGAGCCATGTTGCAATATGAATGAACTCAAATTCATTTGTTGCACAAAAGCCGAAGTTGGAGGAGAGTGAGCACACGAGTGCACAAAGCATCTCAGCCCAGGCTTCTTCAGCCATGTCTGTGCTTAGCTCCTTGCTGGAAACCACGTCAGGCTGACATCTTCCTGAGCCTGTGGCTGTTCAAAGGAAGAGAGAACACACGTAAATAATGACCTCAGTTACAGGCTTCTCTTCTTCCCTGAGAGAATAGCTCATGTGCCATGACTGTACCAGAGAAGACACCAGAAAGGAGTAGCTAAGTCTGACAGGAGATGGAAAGACAAATGTGTTTGCCAATGCTGGAAAAAGTGACGTTCAGGAGATGTAAGAGAAAAGCTTTCATACATGCCCTGTTTTCATCAGTCTGGTGTTAATTAAAAGTTTCAATTCCTACCTCAGGAAAAGGAGATGTTTCTTCACCCAGCCTTCCTTAGGATTTACACAGGCCTTCAGCCCACTGGCAGTGTGGAAACTGGAAAAGAAATAACGATAAAGAAATTAGAAATTCCAATAATTGCTGTGGAGAGTACAGATACTCTCTGTAATAACAAATAGAAACTGCTTTTGTAAACACCAGTTAGACATGGAATGCTCCAAATTCTTCCAATATTATATGAAGAAAAAGAAAGTTAAATATAAAAGCTACTTCAGTCTCAGGGATCATTTTTTGCACCATAAAATTTTGTTCCATTTATTTGATCTGTTTAGGCAAAGACCTTTACTGGATGCCGAAAAAAAAAATTGTACAATTAAGGAGATTAGCTGCTGTTAAGCTAAGGTGACAAAACCTTGTAAGAAAAAGATCTGACCCCTGTGAATTAGAAGAAGTCTTGTCACTTATGTATCTGTTCACAGGTTTTGGCAAGGGAGCACTCTGTGTTGGCCAGAGTGCTTAGCTGGAGACAAAACCTGTCTTTGCACAGTGATTCCTAAAGAGTCAGATTTATTATTTACATTGTATGGCTGTCCCTTGGGTTAGCAGTCCCTATCAACTAGAGGTTATGTGTTTTGTTTACAGGTGTGATATACAATTTATTCGGTTAATTTAACTTTGTGAAAGGGCAGGAAAAATCATGCATATAACATTCAAATCCTTGTTTTAGCCCAAACAGACTTCCCAAGGTTAACACGTGCCAGAAAAAACAGTGGAAATTCAGAAAGTAACTTACATGATGGCAGGGATGTCGCAGACCTCACTGGACAGCTGTTCAGTGTAACCCTTCAGGGCCCACCGGGGCAGACGCACTTTGGTGTAGGACAGGCAGCAATCCTGGTTGCTTTGTGCTGGAGTGAAGGACAAAACAAAGCAAATAAACCCCATTTGGCCCACACTGCCCTGCTGTCTATGGCACTCACTGTTCAACCCCAGCCATCCAGCTCCCTCGTGACAGAAGAGGGAGATGAGATAGCACATATTGCTGAAACCATTCCCTTCCAGCCCAGCCTCATCCTGCTGCCAGCTGTGAGCAGCACCAGGAGCCCTTCCCGGAGCAGAAGAGCCGAGGTCACTCACCTTCCGCGGAGCCGCACAGGAGCAGCGCCAGGAGCCCCAGCAGGGCAAGCAGCACCATGCTCTTGCTGCTGCAGCCAGTCATTCCCTCTGCACACACAGCTGTGCTCCCGTCAGCGCCTGGCTGCTGCCTGCTGCTCCTGCCGGCATCTCCACCTGCTTATAAAGGGGTGCCAGGAGCCACAGGAATTCACACATGGGCGGGTTCCACTGTCATCAGCGGGTTTCCCCACAGCAAATTTCATCGTGCCCGATTTGGCCCCAGCACTCCTTCCTGGTACTAGAACCCGAGATAACAGCGCGCTGGGGAATATTCTCTGTTTTTTTTTAAGTCACCTAAAAGACTCGGTCTAAAAGAAAAGGAAATAAAGGCTGTGCGGTAATGGGTCTGTGGGTGAAGCCATAGTTTTTACGGGTAGGCGTGTGGGTTGTGAAATGGGGAAAGTCAAATGTAGGTAAATTTTGTTGGCTACAGAAACTGTGTGTCTGCTGTGCTCTCGTTTAAGAAACCCAACCTAGGGGCAGAAGGAGGTGGGCTGAGCCAGCCAGATTCATTTCAATGTGGCAAGCTCACAGGAGCTGGGTCACAAGCTGTACCAACACCAAAGTACTACATGAATATTCCTGGCTGGCCAACACTGTAACATCGGGCTTTCCAGATTACTGCTTTCCGAGCTCTGGACTGCAGTATTGGCAAGGACACATGGGCAACATTAAGTATTAATGGAAACGGGTTTATTTCATTTCCTTAACCATATATTCCCTGCCATGACTTCTTGCCAGTTTGTTACACGTCTGAACTATTTAATCTGAAACAGAGCGAGCTTAAAAGAAACTTGAAATGGGGCCTATATTCTCCTAATCTGTGCTTTCTAGAATGCATTAATGCACTTCATGAACAATAGCTGTAGTCTGTTGCTTTCCGAAACTGTACCAGAGTATTGTGACTCCTGAACATTCAACAATAATACACACAATCTTAAAATTGCCTGGCACAGCTCTAGAGAAGCCACCACTCTGTCACCACTCCAAGTACATTGTTAGAGCTGCTACTGAAGGATGGCACTTTCCCATGCTGTTTAGGGATCTATGTGAAACTACTGTGTTGGCTACAGGCCATGTCCTGGCCAGCCAGGGTACAGAGCAGCTGCTGCCAGCTCCAGGTACTTACAGAGTAACCTGAGCTTTAAGTGGCTTCTCTTAAGGTAGAGCTCATGGACAATTGTAGATAGTGCATAATTAGATGCCTTCTATCCTTCACAGAGTGCCAGTAGCTCTCTCAAAGGGTGAGCTCCTATTATTTCTTTGTAGAAACGGAAACAACTTGAACTCTAGAACAGATTGTTATTCAGAGAAATTAATTTCTCTATGTAATAGCTAGAATTAAGGAAATTTTATATGGCTGAAATATTTGAGAGCAACCTTGCAGTGTGCATGGCATCACATATACTGGACGTGTTTCTCTGCAGAGCCACAGTTACTGGCCAAAGGATGGGCAGGAAGCAATAAAGAACCCATGCCCTAATGTATGCAGCTTTTTGTAATTGTTTTATAGATCATAGTCAAATGCCACAAAAGATTACAAAATATCAATGCTCTCACTATGCAGCTATCTCTGCACTGCTTTAAAGATTATCTGTCAGCATTAGTCAATGCCTCAAACTAGCTGACTAGAATGGTAGTTTTTTCTTTAACATACAGAGTTCATGGATCTCAAATCTATTTACACCTATACCCAACTTTGGCATTTCATATGCCATTTCCTAGGCCATACTGTTATCCAGATGGAGGTGGCCTTGCCCCTCTCAAGTCCTCCTTGTGACTCTGCAGCTCTATTTCTTCTCCATTCAGTGCTTCTTGGACAGAATCTTCTCATCTAAACTTTGACCCTTCTACCGAAGTACCAGCAGTTTGGATACCAGAGCGATGACAGTGCTCAGGCAGTGCTCACCCTGTAGTCCTGCCCTCAGGCAGTTCTCCTCTCACCAGTGGTTCCCACACCTGACCATGGCTGGCAATGTGCCTCGTCGCAGCTGGACTCATGCTCATAGTGCTCCTTTTATCTCATGTTTTGTTTGATTTAGGAAATTAGGTTAAGACTTAGACTTAGAACAACAGTGGCAAGGAGGATCTCAATTTCAAGTGCTGTCATTTTGTTTGTACTTGGTGTGTACAAAGTACCTTCAGTTTATTAGCACAAAGTAGTTAAAACAATAAAAAAAGGTTTCATGCAAATAGCTGAAGAAAGCTATGCCGATTGTGATATGACACATAAGTGTATCTTATCAGTCTTTACCTTCACAACCCCTGAATGCAAACGGAAGGCAAAAAATATATCGAATAGGGAGGTGCTTATATGTTCCAGGGAAGTGTTTTTCATTACTCCCTGGGAATGAGGGGACAGTGACTGTTATCCACCCTGACCCAACCAAACTTTCAACCTGGTTTCCTTTGGCACCTGTGTGAGCAAGTGGGCCATGTGGGCTGGCAGGGAATGCCACACAGCCAAGAGATGAGGCTGCCAGGCCCCAGGGTGGCCAGTGGCACCTCCAAAACTGTTCCTGGGTCAGTTGCTGGTGCCATATAAATGTGTTTAGTGTCTTAACACTACTGCAGTTCAAAGGCTACTGAGGGGGGCAGCAGGTGAAGGGAGGCCATCATTTCCCTGCCCTGGGACCTGCGTGGGGAGGGCTGTGCCCAGAGTGTCCTCAGAGGCTACAGCCAAAGCATGAGAGGTATCAGCCACAAGCTGTGAAAAGGGAAATTCTCATCAGACATAAGGAAGCACTCTCTCCATAGCAAGGGGATGAGGCACTGGGGCAGGCTGCCCAGGATGGGATGTGAAAGCCTAATTTGAATACCCTTGCAGATACTCAAGCTGGATGTGGTCCTTCCCTGAGCATGATCTTGAACTTGGGTTCCTTCCCAAGCCACAATCAACCCTACGTAATTTTTTCTGGGTTTTTCACATTTAGCTGTTTGTTTAGTTTAGTTTCCTGACTTACTAGTCTTCCTGACTTGACTTTGCTGTAAGCTTCTCAGCTTCCCTCCTTCCTGTTGTCCCTCCTCAGATGCCCTCGCAACAACTGCAGTCACAGTAAGACAGAGCAGCAAAACACAGACTGACAAAGGGTTCATCCTCTCCTAAGCTTCCTGTCCCATTGTTCCAAGGACCAGAGAAAACAGGCTCAGATCCCTCCTGTGTTTATAACAAAAGATGAGGCAGAGACAGCCTGTGTGCCAGTGCTGCAGAGCCATCCAGTCAGACCTGCGGAAGAAGAAATGCATCAGGGAAAACTGAGCCTTTTCCCAAGTAATACTGGGGAACTGACAGTTCTGAGCAGTTTGGAGATGTTAAAGAGGAGAGCTGGGGAGTCAAACTGCTCTCAGACACCATCTGCAAAGCTACAGCCAGAGGCAACTTTCTCTGGTCACCAAGTGCTGCATCCTGATCATTCACTTCCTGTCTAATATCCCAAAGGACTTTTACTTACAGAAATACCTGCTGGAAGTCGAAAGTGCTGAAGAGGACTCAATAGTTCAACCTTGATAAACATCCTCATACAGGGCAAAAAATTTGGGAGGGGAGAGTGTGTGGGCTTACCACATCATTATCCCCGTCATGGAAAAGCACAGGAGCAGTCCACCTGGTTTCCATGCAAGGGTTAAAATACCTCATGGACTTTTGAAGAGAAAGACAGAGAAGGAATTTTATAATCATCAACCATTTGATTATTGTCCCTTTATGGGTTTAGGTCTAACATGAAACATGAAAGATTAAAATAAAGAACTTAAATGTCAGCCACTGCCAGTACCTTTACCTGTGCCCTACAATAAGATGACGAACATACTAAGAGTTGTTAATCAACTGGCAGTTAACAACAGCTTCCATGTTTTTCCATCCTCACAAAGAGATATTGTTTTATTGCATATTAGTACCTTTTCTGAATTGATGTGAATAAAGCCTTACAGAACCCAGGTGATCATCCAGGAAACACAGAACCAGATGGGGGAAATTCCCTTCTGTGATTTCCAAAGGTTTAGGACTCCTTTAGTAAAGCAAAGTGCATGAGAAGGCAGTAGCTGAAAGGAACATGGCCAAACACGGGGATTTAGTAATTGCATAACCTCTGATGAGTAAATGCGTAATAAGTCCCAAACACAAAAGTTCCAGTGGTAACTTGCTCAATACTTCTGGAGCTATAGAGGCTGTGATGCAATCCAGTGATTTCAGGCAATTCACTGCTTGCATGACTGACAAAAATTATTATCCGAGGAAGAAGATAATTTTCACTAATTATAGGTTGCACTTCATAAGTTACAGATCTAGAAATACTATTGAATGACATTGCTTTGATGTAATTATGGACGACATGTGCCTGTTAGGAGAAATTAACTTCCCATCTATCGAAAGTGCAGGTTATGAGGAGACCTGGTGCACCTGCCATGAACATCCTGGCAGCTGTCCCAGCACTGCTCATTGCTTCCTGCTACCTATAGAATGCTCTATATCTAATGCTCTGAGGGCAGATTTCTCTCTGCAAAGTTAACTCTATTCTGTCTACAGTTCCTTGGGGTAGCCAACCTCCTTTTCACAGAAATGGACTTCTCAAATGTGATGTCAAAGTCTATAATTGGAAAGAAGAATGAAAAAAAGTCTTCATTGGATTTGTGTGGCAGGGCTTTGGTAGTGAGTGGTGGATTCTCTGCTAGAGACTCCTCCCATGTCTGGCAGAGCCAAGGCCAGCTGGCTCCAAGGAAGGACTTAGTGGACAAGGCTGACATAGTAAACTCAACAGCATGTTTGTACTAATTTTTACTAACACATTTCTGATCCTTAAAGTCCAGAAGTGCAGATTTTCTGAAAAAATTTCTACAAAGGTGGGAAGAAAGGAAGGAATCACTAGACAGAATTTTACACTGTCTCCTGCAAGGGACAAAGACCACCAAATGTCATTTACAGAAAAAAAGAAACCTGATTACAAAATGTAGCAATGTGATTAATTAATTAATGTAATTAATGAATGTAATGCAAGGATGTTAAACACATGTTAGACACAGATGTGTTTATCATCCCAAAATCTT